TGCACGTGGAGTCCACAGGCTGAGCCTGCAGCCTGAGGCATATCCCTAGGCCCTGGCCCTACGCCAGTCAAGCAGCTGAGGCAGAGTCAGCCTCATAGGCCTGGGCTAGTCCTGGTGAGCCCAGCCCTGTCACCTGCCCTCAGCCACGTCCACACCATGTGGCGCATCCCTTACTGCCTCCCGCATGTTTTCCTCCAGGAGTCTTCAGTGCCAGCACCACCTGGGGATGAAGGCGCTTCCAAAATTTTCACTTGCGTCCTTATCCATGTGGCCTTGGCACTGCTGGGCTGCTCTTTAAGCCCAGGTGGGACTTGGCAGAGATCAGCTCTCCTCTCGATGCCTGGTGTGTGCATGTATTGGGAGTTCAGAGGCCCTGTAGCTGCAATCCCAAGCCTGGGTGTCAGGCCTGCCCAGAGGTGGGAGTGTAGCGAGATGACTGGCGGCAGGCAAAGTCTCAGTCCGCATCCAAGTGGGAAGCCACGGCTGCAGCAGAGGCAGGTTCTCACCCAGGACCCTCAGAGAGCAGGTTCATGGTAGAACTTTTCCAAGATGCTATGTCCATACATCTTAGCTCCTTAAACATTTCTGTCAGTGTGCACTTGCAGTGGCGGGCAGCTGGGTGGGTGCTTCCGTGTTTGCCTTGCCTGAACCAGGAGTGGCCCCTCCTGCAGTGGTTTTCTACCACAGATTCCAGGGCCCCTCCTTGCTCCACCCAGGCCAATGTCTTATGTATTTCCTCAAGAGGAGCCCCAGGCACCCAGCACTGCAAGGCAAGTTCCATAGATCCGCTTTCCTCCAGACCCACCGTAGAGGCCTCACAGCCTCATCACTCTTTTGCAGTCACCTAATGGAGCTGCTTACTTGACTCTCAGGAGTTTTCACTTGGTCTGCAAACAGGGTCAATATCTGCCTGATTGGGGAAGGCACTCACTGTCCAAGCTTAGCCTTGCTCCTGCCCGCCACTACCCAGCTATGGCCTGTCCTAGGCAGAGATGGGCACAGGACCTCGGAGCCTGGATGCCACAGAGTGGGTATGCGATTCCCCTGCAGTCTGGACAGGCCCCAAAGGCAGCAACAGCATGAGGCTGTATCTCTCCAGGTTCTCACCCTCACCCCTCCAGCCTGGTGGGTGCTGGAGGCAATGAGGAGAGGACACAGGTAGAGGCCAGCCTGGATCCTGCCAGGGGAAGAGAGACACCGAAGCCCAGCAGTTGTAAAGCTCAGATTTAGGCCAGGCAGCTATCTTGAGGTGGAGGCAGACCCCACCCCACACAGAGCAGAAGAAACCTTGCCAGGCTGCCTAGAGGCTGGTACAGAGTCAGGCAGGCCGAAGTGGCCATCATGCCCCTCCCGAGGGACTGTCACTCCCCCTCCGTGGGCCTGGCCTCTGCTGGCTCTGACCAGGTCGTCACAGCACTGGGTGGCAGGGTGGTCTCTGACTCTGCAGCCTGGCTCTTTCATGCACAGCCTTCAGCTCCAGGCTGGCATTTGGTGCTCTTTAGCTACTACTTCACAGCACAAGTGCAGATGTTTGTAAGTTGTTTCTTCCTCTTTTTACTAAATTGGTGTCATTATACTTCTTCTCCCTCGACTCCCCATCTTCTCAACATTCTCCCTCTTCATGAGCCACTTTTCTCTGCCTCACTAGCAGCCTGTTGGGTTAGCACCCAAATACTCAAGTGAAGGCTGCAGAACCCAAATGAAGACTCTTTGCCATCTCCAAAGCTCACAGCCTTTGTAGTCTCATTGCATTATTCATTCTTCTATTTCTGCAAAGATCATATTTGATATTAGCTATTATTACTCGAAGTGCTCAAGTAAGGTGCAGGCTGGACATTGCAGCCTCAGCCACCAACCCTCTTCTTTGAAGGTTTAACGGCCTACAGCATGGCCTCCTTTCTTTGGGTGACGCACGGCCCCACCTCTCCAGCTACGGAATCCAAAGGGCCTGGAGGCTTGGCTTTCAATTAAGTCTGGATTGGCAAGCCTCTGCTCCCTCAAAATGCAAAGGGGATTCTCACCACGCTGAAGCAGGCGCCACAAAACAAGACGGCTTTGGCTAGGGTAACCGCTTCACCACTATTTCTCGCTTACCGCCTCTCATGCTTATCTTATCCATGCGTGTTCCGTCTCATCTGGCTGCCCAGCCCCCAGGATCTCAGCATCCTAGACTCTGTGAAGGCTCAGGAGCCCCAGAGAGCCGAGAGCCCCCTCTCAGGGCCCCTGCCTGCCTATCTCCGGCTCTCTAGGCCCCCTACCCTCCCGATATAAGTAGTGGCCCCAGGCCTGCACTCTGCACCGGACGCTCCTCTCTGAATGGCCGGCGCTTAGCAGCTTCCCACCTGCCTCTGCAGCCCAGCTAACCTTCCCCGGCGCGCCTTCAGTCCTGCCCTGATAGGGCTTCTGTAGGCTCTCACCTAGCAATAGGCAGCCTGTAGCTTCTCCCTTAGAGGCCCAGCCCCTTACCACAGTTCCCTGCTCCTTTCTCCCGCTCAGCTGTCAGCCCCAGGCCCCTCCCAAAAGATCTGTCCCCTGGCCCCCTGAGGCCCCCCATGTCCTAGACCCTCTCTCTATCATCACTGCTCCAGCCCCAGACTTCACACCCACCCAGAGGCCTGCCCATGGTGCCCAGAAACCTGCACTCAGGAGCCACCCCTGGTTCTGGTGTGACCCAACCCTAAAGTGCCTTCCCCTCAGTCTGGGGCTGGGGAAGGGGTGCAGAACCTGAAACCCCAGCCAGGAGTCCACCAAATCACCGAACAAAGAGATAGTATAGACAATCCCATAAGCCCTGGGCTCCGCTGGCCTGGGCTGTCCTCATGAGGCCAGGCCAGGCCTCCTCTGTCACCGCCCGTGACTCCACCTCTCCCTGTAACCCCTGCTCAGCGTTCCCTCAAGGGCCACTTACCTGACGAGCTTCTTGCTGGCCCAGCCTCTCCCTGGAGTGTGCCTCTGCCCTGTGGCTTAGCCATGCCACCGACAGCTGGGCGTCACCCTTCCTCCTGCAGCCTCCTCTTCCACTTCCGCTGTCCCCAGCACCCTCTGTCCTCCTGCTCTCCCTCTGTCTCCCCGCCTCCCACATGGTCACCCTACAACCACTCTCTACCGCCCCGTCCCCTAAGTTCACCCTCTATCCCTCATCCTCCTCTATCCCCCAAATTCCCCTCTTTCCCCCTCATGTTTCTCTTTCCTCCCCAACAGGGCACATGGGGAGGAGGGAAGGCAGGACACCCCAGGGCACATGGAACATGGAGATAGGATTGTGGCTCCCACTGTTGGTGACATTGAAGTGACACCACCAAGGAGCTGTTTCCCATGAGTTTGGGCCTGGTTTCTCCTGACCCCACACACCTCAGGAGTCCTTTACCCGTTAGGACTCTGAGGGCTGGGTTTCTTCAGAAGGAAACTCAGATTCACTTTTAAATGCAATGGCTGACGCTGTGCAGATGGGACCAGGAAGGGTGGGAGCTATTTGAGGAAGAGGGCTGGCCTCCCGTGTCCTCTCTGAATTTGCTGTTAGGAAAACAAAGCCCACTCATCTTGCTGACCCTGGTCACCCTCCTGTCCCCAAGGATGTGGCTGCGATAGAAGGGTCTTGAGGGGGGTCTTCCTGTCCCTCCCTTGACCCTGCCCAGTGGGGCGGTGACTGAGACCCCAGGCAGGTGGGCATTGGCAGCCTGTGGCAAATGCCTCCAGGCTCAGCAGGGCAGCCTCGGAGGTGGTGGCTGCTAGCACCCTGCATTGTGGAGCTGTCCCCAGGGAGGGGCTTGTGTTGGGCTCCAGGGGCACCTGGGCAGAAGCAGATTCAAGCCACAGGCTCTCGGTGTGTGCAGGGGCTCCATGGCCCTGGGTCTGATGTGCTTTAGGACAGGTATCAGGGAGGTGGCCTGAGAGCAGCTTGGACCTCTCCTCCCAGCCAGTCATGGCCTGGAAGAGCCCGGGACTTCTGCCAACAGCCCTCCCTGACTATGAGAGGAAGGGTTGAAGGGGAAGCTCCGTGTGCTCAGTGCTGCGCACACACAGCCCCCTGCCCAGCCCCTCAGATCCCTGGGAGCTGAGCTAGATGCCCCTAGTGCTGCTGGAACTGAGCTGCCCAACACGGTAACCACCAGCCAATGTGGAAGCTTAGGTTTCACTTTTTTTTTTTTTTTTTTTTTTTTTTTTTTGAGAAGGAGTCTCACTCTGTCGCCTAGGCTGGAGAGCAGTGGCGCCATCTTGGCTCACTGCAACCTCCACCTCCCGGGTTCAAGCAATTCTCCCTGCCTCAACCTCCCGAGTAGCTGGGATTACAGGCACGCGCCACCACACCCAGCTAATTTTTATGTTTTTAATAGAGACAGGGTTTCGCCATGTTGGCCAGGCTGGTCTTGAACTCCTGACTTCAGATGATCCGCCCACCTCGGCCTCCCAAAGTGCTGGGATTACAGGTGTGAACCACCATGCCCAGGCGGGTTTCACTTTTTATTAAAATGAAATAACATGTGCCTGAGCACATTATTTCTGCTCCAGCACAGAGCAGCGTCCTGGTGCCTGGGGCTTTCTCACACACCAGGCAGCCGTCTGCCCCCACCCCCAGCCGCCTTGGCCCTTCCCTGTCTTAGCTTTCCAGCCCTCTCACCCGGCCCACTCACCTCAGCCCGCCTTGCAGGGTACAGGCTCAGCCTGGCCTCCCTCCTGAGGGTGCCCAGCTTAGGGTCAGACTTGGCCAGCAGGAGCCTGGGGACAGGGGTGTTTCCTTTGAAAGTCACTTCTGTGTGCCTGGCTGTGCCCTCTGAGCAGATACGGACCCAGAGGGGAAGGCAGGGCCAGGGCCAGGGTTGCTGGCCTTGGAGGTGAGGAAGGAGCTCCAGAGGCCCCTCCTGGCCAGCATCTCCTCCCCACTTGACTCGCTTTGTCCCCCTGGTACCTCAGGCCACACAGCACCATTGCCCCTGCCCCCAGTGCCTCCTCTTGCTGCTCCCCGGGGCCACTCGCACTAACCCACCTGCTGTTTGCCACAGTCACTGCATCCAGCAGATCCTGGAGGCCGTTCTCCATTGTCACCAAATGGGGGTCGTCCACAGAGACCTCAAGGTGAGTCCCCACCCCACTCTGTGCCAGGTGTCTGTTGTCTGTACCTGCATGCTGTGTACAAGGAAGTGTGAGGGGCTGGACAGTGTGGGGCACTGTGGAGCTTGGAGGGGGTGAGGTGTATGTGTGTGTGTGTCCTTGTGTGCATGCATGGAGTGTGTGCATGCATGTGCATGTGTATGTGTGTGCACCTCCTGTGTGGAGGGTGTGCATATGTGTGTGCATGTGTGGAGGCATGTGTGCATGCTTATGTGTGTGCACCTGTATGTAAGTGTGCATGTATCATGTGCATAGAAGTATGTGTGTGCGTGTGCATACATGTGTGTACATGGAGGTTCGTGTATACATATGTGCATGCCTGAGTAGAGGTATTGTGTGTGTATGCACATGTGTGTATACATGCTTGTGTGTGCATCTTGCACCTGTGCAGGGATGTGCATGTATGTGCACACATAGAGGTGTGAGTGCATATGTCTGCATGAGCGGTCACGTGTCTGTATGTGTGCCTGTGTGCATGTGTGTATACATATGGCATCTGTGCATGCACATGTGTGTGGGGACTGTGCATGCATGTGTGTGCATGTGTATACAAGTGTGTATTGTGTGCAAACATGTGTGGGCATGTTTGTGTGAATGCATATGTGAATGTGTATATGTGGGTACATGTGTGTGTGTATGCATGTGTGTGCATGTCTTGTGGGCATGTGTGTACATGTGCATGTGTGTGCACTTGTGTGTTGGGGGGGTGTCTGCACATGGCCCTCCCTTCCCCTCCGGACCTTCAGGGCTGGGAGAGGTTAGTCTTCAGAAATCAGCCTGTTGCACAGCACTCCAACCTGGGCGATAGAGAAAGCTAGCAACAAATGTCCACTCAGGGTCTCACTGTGAGCCCCTGCCAAGACTCCACTCTGGCAGGTGGGGACACAGGTAACAGAGCGCTGACACTGTTGGGAGCAGGGTGGTGACATCAGGACTCGCCAGGGTCTGCCAAGTCCTCCCAGCCCTTTCTCCAAGCCTCTGCTGCCCCCAGCTTAGGTCTGGGCAAAACAGTTCTAGGCTCTCTTCAGAAGAAGGTTGGTCACCCCCCAGGGCACAGGGTGGCCTCTCAGAAGCTTAGCTGTCTCTCTGCTCCTCCCTCTCTCCCTTCCTCCCTCTCTTTCCTTCCTTCCAATCTCCTTTCCTCCTCCTTCAACCCCACCTTCCCCAAGGCTTGGTTCAGCCTGCTGCTTCTCTGTAGACAGGCAAGCAGTGCGGACCCTGGGGCCATCACCCTGAAGGCATTTAAGACCAACCTGCCCACTGGTTTTCATGCTGGATGGGGGTCACACCCTTCCTTAGGCCATCGATGATCTTTGCACTGCTCTGGGGAGAGCGCCACACCAAGAGCAGATCTGGGACCCTCTCCTATGCCCTTTACACACCACTGTGCCCCCTGCTCCCTCTCATCTCTGCATTCCAAGCATGTCCTGCTGTGTCTCACGTGAGTCAGCCTCACTCAGGCGCCTCTGGGAGGAGACGGCCCCCAGGTGCTCCTCTTGGGGCCACATGGGTTGGTGCTAGGATTCAGTGGTTCTCCTGTGAGGGGTCATAGACATTTTGTTACCAGACCCCATGATTTATCTGGTTAACTTTGGGGCCAAGGCATAGAAGTGGAGGTCAATGGTACCTCCTCCCCAATCTGAGGGACAAACAGAATTCTTGGTGTCTCAACCTCCTGTTGTGGAGGACAGGACGTCCTTTTCTCCTGGACAGAAATCCACGGTCTTGATCGTGACAGCCCAGGAAGCAGCAGAGTGACGGGGTTGCTCTTACCCCATGGGGGAGGGTGGCGGAGAGCAGAGGGCAGTTGATGTCATCCCAGGGAGCTGCAAAAGAGCCAGGATGGAGCTGTAGGTGGGAGCAGCACTAGGTGGCCTAGCAGGGGTGGGCACAGCCTCAGAGCTACCCTGGAGCCTCCAGGCCTTCTCGCCCAGTGCTTCGTGCAGCCCATGTTCACTTAATGCTCCTTCTCTTCAGAAGAACTGCTGGTCTGTTTCCTCCGGGAAGGGGGCACCTGCGGCAAGTCTACTCTGGGCTGGATGGAGAAATGCAGCCCCTGCCCCTCCTCTGTCCGACTTCTCCATGTGGCTGCACAGGGAGCTTAGGGCCTCCACCCACTCATGTTGGCAAAATCACCGTGTCCAGAGGCCTGTGGGTTGGTGCTCGGTAGACAGGAATGCATGTGCCCCAGTAGACTGGGACCCCCACGGTGACGAGGAGGTGGAAGTGGGGGACAGAAGCCCCCAATGCTGCCCTGTCAAGGGGGCAAACGGCCTCATCCCGCCTGCTCAGTAGAGCGTGGCTGGAGCTTTCAAGGAAGCTCTGGGTTTCTGCTGAGGGGCACTCAAAGCTCGGGGCTGTGGCAGTCTTTCCACATGGGGATAGCATATGTCATTCATTCTGGGGGCCACTTTTTCACACTTCAAGATCTCTGAGGTTTACAACCAGTGTTAAAAGCGGGTGGAGTGGCTCTGTTTTGTCTTTTTTGGCGGCTCATCAAGCAGCAGTGTGATCCCGAGGGTAGTGCGCCAGATGGAAGCTGTGCCAGGACAACGGGGCACTCACCAGGGCGAAGGGGTGGCTTGGGAGGCTGGCCAAGGGGACCTGAGGGCTCCAGGGACGCCCCCTGCTGGTCACGGACAAGGAAGGCCTGCAGCTGAGAGACCCCACCGCTGGGATGTGGTGAGGCTGATGGGTAGACCAGAGCCTGGTGGGTTTGAAAGCTGGGACAGGAAGGCCCCACGGGATGCAGTGGCCCTGGGACCCCCTCAGGCCCTCAGTGCCAAGTGTCCCCAGTCTGGGGACAGCAGCCTCCTTGGCCGCTGCTGCAGGACAGGAAGCAGGTGTCCTTCTGGCTTGAGCAAGGGCACTGCTCCGTGTGTCAGGGCCTGAGTAACCCCCGACCTGTGGATACCCAGCGGGCAGGGGCTCATTGCAGGGGCCTCCTTCCTGCCCCATGTCGTGGAGATGACCAGAGCCAGGGGCACTTGGTGGGTGGATGTCCTGGGCTGCCCCTAGTGCTGAGGCCCCTATGTGCTTCTCCTTGCCCTTGGGAGGTCACCATCTCAGTAGGAAATACCTGAACCTCCCTTCAAGAGCCTCCGACATCACGTCTCTGGGGAGTGGGAAACAGGGAGGAGAGGGAGGGCCAACGCAGTCCCTCAGCCAGTGGGAGTCCGAGGGCCACGGGAGCCCTCAGCCACTGCACGGTCTGCCCCAGAGCTGTGGGGAACATTCAGTTTGCTTGTAAGGATGAGCTTGAGGTTTTGGTCCAACTGGCCCCCAGGTCGCCCTTTCAGGGTATGGGGATCCAAGCTCAGGCTGAGAGCCAGCTTTCCTCTAAAAGGCCAGAGCTGCTGTGTCTCTGTCCCCAGGGGCAGAGGGGCTGTGGGGTTGCAGGCTCAGCCTCTGGGACGCTGGGGTGAAGGCTCAGCTGTGCCCTGCAGACACCATGGGGCAGGGCTCAGACCTGTGCACCTGTCTCTTGCAAACCACTGTTTTCTCTGTTTTGTAACCTCCCACCCCTCCCTGCATAACACCTCTGGGTTTAAACAACGTGCACCCTTGTGCCGGTCACCTCCCTGCAGCCAGAGAACCTGCTCCTGGCCAGCAAGTGCAAAGGGGCTGCAGTGAAGCTGGCAGACTTCGGCCTGGCTATCGAGGTGCAGGGGGACCAGCAGGCGTGGTTTGGTGAGTGCCAGGGGCAGGGTGTGTTGGCTGGCAGTCGGCGGGCCAGGAGGTGGTGTGACAGCCCCTCGTGGCCTCTTCCCCTCTCTCTAGGGTTCGCTGGCACACCAGGCTACCTGTCCCCTGAGGTCCTTCGCAAAGAGGCGTATGGCAAGCCCGTGGACATCTGGGCATGTGGTGAGGCCTGGCCTGAGTTGGTGCAGGGCAGGGCCTCGGGTGTTTTAGGACTTCCCACCTACATCCTGGAGTGTGCAGTGACCAGCACGTGTTGCTCTCATCTGGATTTATCTGTGTCAGACCTGCCCTTGAGCTGCCCTGGCAGGGGTCTGCCCACGAAGCCAGGAGCTCCCTTTCCACCCAGATTAGAATCACTCACATGACTCTGGCGCACCCCAGTGCTTGCCTGTGCTCAGCAGAGGTCTGGTCCAGAGGTGTGGTGGGTGGACGGGAGTGGAGAGGAGAGGTCAGAGACTGTTGGGCCATGGGCAGGGCCCCTTCTTGGGTAGGGGTATCCTCCCACAGAGGTGGGTAGCAGCAGAGGGGCTTAGCGCCACCCGCATCCGCATCCCCGTGATAGTTTGGGTGTGGGGCAGAGTGTGGAGGGGTTGGCTGTGCCCTTCTGCCCCAGTGTCTGCAGCACAGGTGGGGGCAAAGGAATGCTGGGGACCCCAGTGCCCTCCCAGGGCCACAGGAGCTGGGCAGTGAGGGTGCAGGGCATGGGCTCCATGGATGGTGGCACCCTACGAGTGGCTGTGGTGCTCACAGGCCCCATCCGCAGGGGTGATCCTGTACATCCTGCTCGTGGGCTACCCACCCTTCTGGGACGAAGACCAGCACAAGCTGTACCAGCAGATCAAGGCCGGCGCCTACGACGTGAGTGCACTGGCCCCTCTCTGACGTGCTCCCTTCCTCCAGGTGTGGCCGGGAAAGGGCAGCATGGGAAGAGGCCAGGAGTGGGGTGAAGCCACCTGTGGCCAGGTCCTGGGTCGTGCTCTCCCAGATTGGTGGCCAGAGATGAAGCCCCTTGGAGAATTCTGGCCCCTGCCCAAGAGGGGGCTTCAGGCCCGGCTGGGGCACTGTTTCCTTCTGCAGTTCCCGTCCCCCGAATGGGACACCGTCACTCCTGAAGCCAAAAACCTAATCAACCAGATGCTGACCATCAACCCTGCCAAGCGCATCACAGCCCATGAGGCCCTGAAGCATCCGTGGGTCTGCGTGAGTCGCCCTGGGTGCCCGTGGCGGGGAGGGGGCTCCTGGTGGAGGTGGCCTCAGACCACTCCCCTGGCGAGGGCCCCAAGAGGGTCCTGTTCCTGACACCCAAGAGCTCCCCTGGGTCCCCTGGGTGCTCCTTGTGGCCTCTGGCTTGGGACACACCAACACGTTTGTGAGGCCTGGGGCTTGGAGGGCATTGGAGGGTAGAAGCAATCCCCTCCTCCCAACTGCAGTCCTGTCTGTGAGGGACAGAGTGGTGAGGCAAGGGAGAGGCAAGTCTTAAATCCCAGGCAGGTTGGGGGGACGGATGGCCCTTGCTGCAGTGGTGGCTGATGGCTCTTGGCATGTGGGGACCCCGGGGTGCCGCAAGCCTTGCCACCCTGGCCTCTCCCCTGTGCCTTGGGCTCCTGGCTGCCATATGACCGCCCCTTTCCCCACAGCAACGTTCCACGGTAGCCTCCATGATGCACAGACAGGAGACTGTGGAGTGTCTGAAAAAGTTCAATGCCAGGAGAAAGCTCAAGGTGAGGCCCTGGCCCCTAGTCCTAGGCATGGCCATTCTTCCCTGCGTCCCTCTGGGCTGGAGCAGAGGGGCCTTGGAGGGTCTGGGCAGACCTAGGGGTTGCTGCTGCCCCCAGGACTGAGTGTTAGCAAGTCCCAGACTGGATGCATCAGGTGAACTCAGGCCAGCTTGGGAACGAGTCCAGAGGGGCCGTGGGCCAGGTGTGGCCCCTCCTAGTTGTCTGTGCCACCTCCGAGCAGCCCTTGGAGGGGCTGTCCTGAAGTGCTGGCTGCAGGCTCCTCACCTGGGCTCTGCAGGCAGTACGCACCATCTGGCAGTCACATTCTTTAGTACAAGCAAGTCTGAAGCTTCCGGCTCAGACAGGTTTGGTAAGGAGAGCGGAGCCACACACACTGGTCTTGGGTGGGCCGGAGGAGGTCGGGGAGGGAGGTGGGCACCAGTAGGGTATCCGACCTGCCTGCTTTGGCCAGGGCTGGCTCCGGTGACCGCACTCTACTCGTGAGTTCCAGGCTGGGGACTTGTTGCCTGACTGCCCTCTGCTGGTCTCTGAGTGGTTCTCCCCGGAAGCCCCAGGACTGGTGCCCTGTCTGAGCCTGTCAGGAAAGGAAGGGGCTGTCAGGGAGCTGGACCCCAGAGGAGCTGCCAAGGTGACCAACTGTTCTGGTGACCACTGAGGCGTGAGGGGTCTTGAAGCAGTTAGAAACTGTAGTTGGTCAACAGGTTTAGGCCCAGGGTGTGTGTAATTCTGGAAATAGGTGATCTGCCTCAGTGCGGCTGCTGGGTTCCTGGAGCTCTTGCCTCTCTGGAAGGCTGAGGTCATGTCAGCCTCATGACCATGAGTCTGAGCATCTGGGCAGGAGGACAGGGGTCTTATCCTGGCCAGAAGCCAGCAGGGAACACTGATGGGACAGCCCTGGTTTTATCTGTGTCTCTCCCCAGGGAGCCATCCTCACCACCATGCTGGCCACACGGAATTTCTCAGGTGAGCCTTTCTTCTCCAGAGAGACAGGGGCTGCCCCATCCCTGCTGGCCTATGCAGGAGAGCGCCTCCTTCCTCACCAGCCTCTCCAGCCCTCCTCTGCGGCAGGCCCTCCCTCGGCGTCTGCCTCACTCAGCTCTGAGACCCACTGCCCACCTGGCCCCTCTGGGCTCCCACCTTGGGTGATACCACAGGGTCCAGCCCCCTGAGGCCATCACCTTCGTGCTGGGTGTGTGTCCCTCCACCCCGTGAACACGAGCGTCTGTGCTGCCCCACTGGGGCTCACAGCATCGTGTGTGTCTGTCCAGGCGTTTGTCGGGCATCTGTGTGGCCTCCTTGTCATTTTGAGTGCTCTGAGCAATGTGTTTTGTGCGGGAGGAGGGCAGAAGGGATGCGGGGTGATGCGGGAGGCTCGGGGGCCTCCTTCCGAGTTCTGGGTGAGCTGCAGCCTCCTGCCCCGGCCGCTCAGAATGGGTGGTTGGGAGCAAGTTCTCTTGGTGGGGTGTGGGATGTGGTGGAGGGGTGGGGTCTGTTATAGACCCCTGAGGCCCAGGGCGCTGGCAGACCCATCTGGGGCATGACGTTAGCCCCAGAGTGGAGCCGGCAGCCCAGGTCTGGACAAGCTGTGCCCGTGGCTTCTCCGTCGTCCAACACTCCGTGTGCGAGCGTCTGTGATCCGTCTCTCTCGTTGTCCGTTTGCATCTGGCGCCCCCCACCCGCCATCCTGTTACTTTTGCTGTGATGCTGTACTGCCGGGAACGCGTGCACACGGTCACACCAACACTAATAGGACTGTCCTGTCTGCTGTGTGCTCACCACACCCTTTGGGCACGAGAAGCCCCCACTGGGGTTTTCTAAGGAGAAAGGAGGCAAATGCTTTTCCGTGTCAATCAGTCCAATCTTGTTTTCACTCTCTTGAGCAAAGGATTCTGGAACCATCTGTCACCTAAACTTTAACTCTAATCTTCTTCTGCTTCCTTTGTCTCTTTTCTTCCCTTACCTCGCCCACCCCTCGTCTGTGTCCGCCCACCCCTCCCTTCCCCTCGTCTCTAACCCGGTGCTAACAGTGGGCAGACAGACCACCGCTCCGGCCACAATGTCCACCGCGGCCTCCGGCACCACCATGGGGCTGGTGGAACAAGGTAGATGTGTCTCGACCAGCGTCCCGCCCGCTCCCGCCCATCCCTCCTGCCAGCATGCAGCCCCCTGCTGCACGCAGCTGCTGGCTGGGCTCCAGAGCCGCCCCAGAGGCCTCCAGGCCCCCGGGAGCCCCTGCTCCCGTGTGGTCACATCCCAGCAGAGCCCACCGCAAGGGCAGGGAGGCAGCCCCCAAGGCTCCTCGCCTGTAAGAGGAGGGGCTGGGCTAGGTGACCCATGGGCCACACCAAGCCCTTCTGGTCCTGGCCCCTGAGGTCTGGGGGTCTGGAGACCCCCATTAAGAATGGCCTGGGCCCCACAGGGAGCCACTGGGCCTGCTGCTGGGGGGTCTGAGTCCTGAAAGGAGAGCCTTGGGGAGCAGGGCCAGAGAGGCAGAGGCCCTTGGGGCAGACCCACACCCTGCCCCTTGGGGGCCGCACGGAGACGGTGGTCTGTGCTGCTGAGTCCCACACGTGCATGTCTGCCCCGAGCCTCCCCCAAGGACAGGCCGCTTTGGAGCGGGGTGGGGCTTTTAGGCACCCAGAGGAGACTTTCAGGGTTTCCTCTTGGGTTGTTTCTGCAAAGTCCTCCTCCCCTGGCATTAAACCCTGTGAGGAAGAAGGCCGGCACTGCCCGCCTGCTCCTCTGGGCTGTGCAGGGCCAGAGCCCAGAGGCCCAGGTTGGCTTCTGCCCACCTGCTGGCTTGTGACCATGGACAGACCCCATGAGGGCTAAGTGACCCCAACACCTCCTTGCAGCTCCAGCCTGAGCTGAGGGCTGGTGAGAGCTTAGGTTAGGCCAAGCTGGCAACGCCTGGCCACAGAACACAGAGGGCTAAAGGGCTAACCCCAGGTCCTCCCTGGGCTGAGCTACCAAGTTCCCTGTCAGTGCCTCCAACATGGGCTGGGCACCGAGCAGAGGTTCTAGGGTGCTGGGGACTGCCTTCCCCAGGCCTCCTCATGACCCCACAGGGTAAGCAGCCTGGCCTTCCCAGCCAGAGACCTCCTCCTGGGGAGGCCCAGGCCGTCCTCAGGGAGGGCAGTCTGTTCTCCCATGAGCCCAGTGGATGTGTCTAGCAGGCAACACCCCGGGAGGGCCCTCCTGCGTCTGCTCCATTTGACAGGCCTTTCCAGAGCACAGGCGGAAGGGGGCTGTGATTAGAAAAGGGTGAGGCTAGTGGCTTCTGGGGAGGTGCTGCTGCCCAGGTGACAGTGCTGAGAGACAGCTGCCTCTACGCTGCCCTGTGCCCGGGGCTCCCGCTGCAATGCCCGCCTGCCTGCAAGTGAACGTGGGGCGACGGTGCATGAGGCCCTGCATGTGTGGCTCCACCCTGGGCGCCAAGAGCGGCTCTGTCCTGGAGGGTGGTCAGTGCATGTGGACAGAGCCCAGCATGGCTGTCCTGGGTGACCAGCTAGTGGGACAAGGCAGAGGTGGGGCTGAGGGGACCGCCCATCCTGCTAGGTCAGCCCAGCTCAGCCATACCACACGACAGTGAGCAGGGAGCTCAGTTCTCTGCCCATGGCAGCTGAGTCTGGTACCATCCAGTCAGAGTCTGGTACCAGCCCATGTGGCATAGCCCCCTCGACCCTCAGAGAGACCCCGTCTGTCGAGTGTGCTTCAGTTTGGTCTCTGTGGTCTCTCCTGCACTGATCGGGTGTAAGGGCATAGGAGACCCAGTGTCCGGCCAGCTGCAGGGTGGCAGCAGTTGCCCCGGCCTGGAGACCTGGGAATGGGCAGTGCCTTCCCAGGATGGAGGGCAGAAGGTCTCTCCTTGTACCACAGAGGCCTGCGGAACCCCCAGCCCAGGTGTCTGGGATGCCTGTGACTGCTCCGCCTACCCTAGGCTCCTGCGGCACCTAACGCATGCTTTGAACTTGAGACACAGAAAGGCAGTTCCCGTGCCCTTGAACGCTAGTGTAGATGGGTGTCAACAGGACTCTGGCCACGGTGAATCTGTAGTTAGTCCCAGGCAGAGATATGAAATGAGCAGCCCCCCAAGAAATGGGTGGCCAGGAGCCATGCGCTCGGGAGGACCGGGCCTGTGCACCCCACACTCGCCCAAGGCGTGCACAAGCGATTGTTGTAAAAGCGGGCTCACAAGGAAGGATGTTTGGGAACTGACTGAGACCACAGGGGTGTCTGCTGCAGGGCTTCCCAGAGTGCTGATGGCAGCGTTGGCCTGAGTCCTTCAACGAGGGCTGGTTTGTACGTGGCATTTGCCGCCCACTGGACTGTGAACTTCTGTCTTTTTATTTCCCACTGCTGCTGTGGTACATCTCCAGCAGCACAGTTTGGAAATGCGGGTTTTGATAAGCTCAAGGATCTAAATGGAATCCTCAGTACCAAGGACTGTCCGGGGTCTCTGTCAACCCCGCCGATGGGCCTAACTGTGTTGCCTCCTTTCCTGTGAGGATTTTCTGAGGACATGCCTGGGGAAAGAGCTCAGTTCCGCTGCTGACTGGGGCGCCGTGCTGGCCCCAGTTCCAATGCAGAGCCTGGCTGGAAGTGCCGCTGGGTTGGCAGAGGCTGCGTGCCTGGCTGTCCCCTCGGGGGTGGGTAGAACCTGCCTTCTGCACACCGCCTGCTTCAGTTGGCCACAGCTTTTTAAAATGTGTGTTTCTGGAAGGGACTGGGTCCCTTCCTTGCCTGTTCAGCTCCCCACGACAAGTGTCCTCAAGGCGAGGCTGGATGCCTCCTTCCTCGGGCTCCTAAGAGGATCCTGTCCCCCAGCCGTGTCGGGCAGCTGGTCACCAGCAAGGACAGTATCCCCTAGCTGCAGCCTCTGGCTGGCTGGCGCTGGGCAGATGTTTCTGGGTTGAGTCGTGTGTGCTGGAGATGGGAGGGGAGCAGAGAGGGCGGGATACACAGACAGGTGAGGGGGCTATGGGGGCCTTGGAACCCTGAGTTCTGAGTCTTCAAGACTCTCCCTCCACAGCCAAGTTACAGGGAAGCAGATTTGAGCCACAGGGAAGCAGATTTGAGCCACAGCGAAGGGGAGAGTTTTCAGTTTGCGCTGTAAGGAAGTGGGCAGTCGGCATTTCTGGTCCTGGGAACTCACTGGGCAGGGCTGCCTTGGGGCATCAGGGAGGTGGTCCTGTGCGCAGCTTCACCAGGTGGGGCCTTAGGCCTGGGGACGGGAGAGTGATGGCTGAGGCCCCTCTACTTCTCCATGGATCCTGGGAGGGACTCCTGGGCTTGATACAAAATTGTTGAGCGTTAAGAGATCTGTGAAGAAAGGGAGGCTGGGAATAGAAACTGTGCCCACTGCACATGGGGTCCCCGGGGCCACGTGCAGCCACTGGTCAGGCACGACCCCAGTCCCTACAGAGCCCAGGAGGGGCCAGGGCCATGGAGGAGGAGCACTGGGCATGTGGACAGGAAGGGGGTGGTCAGCAGGCAGCAGGCCCAGGCATGTCTGTGTCCTGCGGGGTGCAGCCTCCTGATCTCCACGGCAACCTGGAGCACCCAGCGTCAGAACCACCGGGAGGGCTTATGGAACAGATGTCCCGCCCTGGAGAGGTTCTGGCTCAGGAGGGTGGGGTGGGCCTGGGAATTTGCATTTCTGACTGTACAGGGCAATTCTGCTGCTGTTGCTGCTGGGGTGGGGGGAGGATCCCATTTGAGAAGCGCTGCAGTCCTAGGTTGAAAGTTGCCTGTCTGTCCCCACCAAGGCCTGTATGGGCAGCCCGGGGTCCCCAGGCAGGAGAACCCAATTTCACGGCCTGGCCAGCCAGGGTCCTGGAGCCAGGAGGTGGGGGAGGGGTGGGGGGGTTGCTGTGCCACCTTCCTTCCCGGCTTGGCCCGGGGGCAAGCATCCCCACACTTCCCACGTCGTCATCCCCTGGGCTCCAGCCTGGCTGCCTCTCTAATCCTGTTGCACCGGCTGGCCGCATGGCCCCGGCTCTTTTTGGTGAGCGTGGTCCAGGACAGGTCACCTGTGAGTCCTGGGCCCGCAGGCTTGCGCCCCTTCCCGAACCAACACAAATCTTGTTTTCTCTCTCTCTCTCTTCCTTCCTCACTCCCTCCCCTTCTCACCTTTCCTTTTCTGTAAGGTAAGCTGACTTCCTCTTTTGGTTTATTTTTTATTTTTTTATTTATTAGTTCTGTAATTAAAATCCTAACAGCCGTGGAGAGTGTGGGCACCAGGGGCTGGGGCCAGGCCCCCCTGACCTCTGTGGGGGAGTGTTGGGTGAGGCGGAGACCCCGCTGCTGGGACCAAGTATCCTCAGGGGCTTGTGGGCAGAAAGGCCTGTGCTGACCCCAGTCAGTGCACAGAAGCGGCCCCAAAGCCAGGGCTGCCGGGCAGCTTGGAATGAGGGCGAGCAGGGCTGCCCTCGGTGCCTGAGCTGAGAGGCCCACTGGGCAGAGCTCTGAGTACGGGGGTCTGAGAGCCAAGGTACGGGGGTCTGAGAGCAAGGTGAGCGCCTGGGCTGGAACAAGGCCCTCTGAGTGGGCGGCCAGCTGCAGCCCACCCACCCCTACCCCAGGATGGCGTGGCCCGGGAGGGCATGACCTCTGGGGTGCTGGCTCAGCTGTCCCCACCCCAACCTGGCACCGCTAGTCCTGAGTTCCCATCATGGAGGAGGCGGCATCCTGCCTTCCTCTAGGAAGAGCTTGCATGTGGCCCAGAAGCCAATGGGACTCCCCAGCACCCACGCGCATCTCTGGGTCTGGTCAGAGGAGAAATCCGGATGCCTATAGGAGCCCCAGGGTCATGGAGGAGGCTGGAGACAGGGCTGTCCTGGCGTGACGGGACGGCCCCCCACCTGCTCAGAGCCAGCTTGGGTGCTGGAGCCACACTTGCCTCAGGACCCTAGGCTTGCTCCTGGGGAAAGAGTGGGGTCAGGCAAAGGGGTGGGGGTGCGCTGCAGCGAGACCCAGGCCCAGCACTCACCATGCCTTTTTCCTCCCCATGCAGCAGCCAAGAGTTTACTCAACAAGAAAGCAGATGGAGTCAAGGTGAGGCTCCGGCTGGGCCCTGGGGTGCCGGGGGGCCCAGAGCCTGCAGCTTCACCCCCACTCCCTGGGGCTCCTGCTCTGGAGTCCCCCTCCCCCCATGCCCTGGCAGACACGGGATGGGGAATTGGCGAGTGAGGGGCTTCTCCCGCCTAAGGGTTCCTCTTCCCTCTCTCCACAGCCCCAGACGAATAGCACCAAAAACAGTGCAGCCGCCACCAGCCCCAAAGGGACGCTTCCTCCTGCCGCCCTGGTACTGAGCTCCTCAAACTCTGCCTCTCAGCCCCTCCTACGCCCCTGGCTGTGTGATTGCTGCTGGTCAGAGGGGGCCTGGTGAAGGTGGGGTCTGGCCCCGCCTGGCCTGTCTGACAGCACTCGCATGGCCCCCGCCCCTCATCCCTCACCAGTGGTGAAGTGGAGAGAAGAGGCCACTGTTGCAGGAGACTCCACTTCAGACAGGTTTAGGGCTGCTCTGGGGAGCCCCTGACTGAGACCCACAGATGTTGGGGTACCAGGGAGAGGCCCAGCCTCCCACCCATGTTGACTTGTGGATGTCTCTCCAGGAGTGTTCAGAAAGTCAGTGAGGCAGAGGACACCCTCTCCCCGCCAGGACCCCACCCTTAGCTCCCCCACCATCCTCAACAGGCCGACCAGGACCCCACCCTTAGCTCCCCCACCATCCTCAACAGGCCGACCCACAGACCACTCCCAGGGTCTAGCTTGGTGGGGCTGGGCCAGGCTCTGCGGGGGGAACAGCCCGTAGTGGCACATTCCATGGCCGGTGGGGAGACGGGGCCACAGTGGTGCAGTAGAGAGGTGTCTAGGTCAGGGCCATCCAAGGAGGGGGCTTGCCGTCACGTCTGTGTTCCCTCAGGAGCTAGCACACCCGTGCTGCTCTGTGGCTGCCTGAGAGGCAGGACTTAGGGGCTCCCTGCCGGGGAGGGGAGGGGTCCCCACCATGCTCCGCTCCGACTGTGCCCCTCAGTGCCCCTTGCCCTGGGGGCTCCTACAGGTGAACCCTACAGCAGTACTCCCAAGGATGTAAAGTTGTGGCTGGTGGGTGCCGGCCTTCCTGCTGGGGCACTGTGCTGTGTCCCCTCAGCTGTCCTAAGAGCTTTGGGGCTTGCTGGCCCATAGGTCCCCACATTTGCTGGAAGCAGGTTTGGTGTCCCCTGAGAACCCCAGGCCAGGCTTCGGGAGCCAGCCCCAGACCGCCCACGGGAATACTGGGTTTGCCAAATGGCCACCCTGAGACCCAGGAGAGGAGAGCGGTCCTGGGAGGGGCGAGCTGCTCAGAGCAGCCAGGCCATGGCTGGAGGGTGGCCTGGTGCCAGCCTACCTAAGGCCTTCCAGCGGCCAGGGTGGCCCACGTGCCAGCCTCACAGCCAGCCCCATCTCGGACCCTGTCCATCCCATGTGCTACCCCCACCCCCATGACATCTTCAGACCTGTGCCCCCCACCACGCTGGGGCACAGGTTCAAGCAGCAAAGGGTGGGGAGAACTCCCCAAGGCCGAACCTGGCTTCTCTGGCTCCCACACACATTGTGCAGCTTGTCGGGGCCCCACGCAGTCCATCTCCTGCCCTGGACAGCAGCACCTCCACCAGCCTGGACAGAGCTCCTGTCCATTCCATCCCTGCCGTCTGACCCAGGCTCCTCCCGCAGCTGCTCCACGCCGCCTCCATCCCTGTCCCCCACTCTGCTCTGCACTTCTTTCTCGCAGGCTCTAGCCACCCACGCCTCCTCTGTCTCCCTGTTCCCCTCTTGGTGGTCTCTGCTTCCTCCTCTTCTCACTTTCCCTCTCTTTCCTTCCTCTGTGTCTTCCTTCTTCTGTAGGAGCCTCAAACCACCGTCATCCATAACCCAGTGGACGGGATTAAGGTACTGCCCCCCCTTTCCTCCTCCCGCTTTCCCCAGGCAGGAGGCTCCAGGCCAGGAAAGAGGTCTGGGGCAGCATTTGTGCCAGAATGGAGGGCAGATGTCCCATGGCCCTGGCCGCCCCTCCCCACAGCACAGCAGGGCCCCAGTCCATCTTTGTGGGCAACAACACAACAGACTGGTTCAGGCCCCAGGCGTGCCCCTGGAGGTGCTGGGCACAGTTGCGCCCAGTCCCCATGTGGCCAACACTCTCAGACCAGGGCTCCGCGTGTCCCACCTACCGCAGGCGGTAGGGCTTCCTGAGGTCTGGAGTGGGGCCTGCATCTCAGGAGCTGTGTCCTTGACTCTCCTGGCTATCCTCCACCCCACCTCCCTCACGCGGCCCCCAGTGCTTCCTGCTGAGCAGACCCTCCCTCCTCTGCTCCCCTCACTGCTCTGGCCATCAGCTCCCATCACATTGACATCATCACTCTGGGGCCAGGGAAGGGGCTGGCTCTCTGGGGTGGTGGGAGGGATGGGGCCAGCAGCCAAGCCATTTCCAGGACTTCCAAAACAGCGCCGCTACACCCAACACAGCCCTCCAGCCCAACTCCCACCTAGGCCTGGGCTCCTTACAGAGCCCCCAGAGTGCCTCTGTGGGGACCCCCACTTCCTTCTGGCCAGTGCCACCACCCAGCCCATCATTAAAAGACATCTTTCTCTATGGCAGGGACCAAGGGGCACCCATGGTGCTAGGCCAGGACCTGGGTGTTCTCCCCACCTGGCAGCTGGGGATGGGTGCCCCTGGGACCTGTGTGTGTCTGGGGTGGGTCATGTTCTCTGCAAGACTCCTAAACAACCTTCTGGGCTGTGGTGAACTCTGACCCTGAACCTAAAGACCCGTAGTTCTGGTCTAGGGCCCCCAAGCAGTGTCCAGGCAGTGTCCAGACCAGGGGGCGGTCCCCCAGGGACCTCGTGAGATGTTTCCTCTGAGGAGCAGAGCAGGCCTCCTGGGGAGCTGGGGGATGGTCTTTTGAAGGGCAGCAGCCCTGGAGCAGGGTGGGAGAGACTGGGCCACCTCTGCCCTCTAAGGCCACCTGAGAGGTGAGGCCGGGGCCTGGCTGGACGTCCAATCCCGGAGGGGCAGGTGCCCTGAGGGAATGTGGGTGGCAGGAGTGCTCTGCCTGGGGCCAGGCCAAGGTTCCTGGAGCCCTGTGCGGATCTGCAGAGCTACTGGGAACACCTCACCCTGTATTTTGGATGACAGTGGCTGCTGCTTCATCGGAACCAGCCAGTCCCATTGTGTTTTACGTCTTGGAATTTCAAAAAGCCCGTTTTCCTCTCTTGTTAAAGAGTCGGCTGAGCATACCAGTCTCTGTGCCAGGCTCATCTTGCCAGGAGAATTGGAGCCCTCGTGTGTCGGGGATGCAGGGTGGCCACAGCACTAGGGTGGCAGGGCCAGCCTCGGACTCTGTGCTAGCCTGTGCCGGCTGCCATGAGAATGCGCCCTGGTGAGGGGCGCCCTCCCAGGGACCAGCACAGAACTGGGTGTCTTCTCCAGTCACTGCCGCATTAGGTCCACAGAGCTGGGGCACTGCAGCCACCAGAGGGCATGTCCCCTGAGCCCCTGGCCTTTAAGCCCGGTCAAAGCAGCTGGGGCAGAGGTCAGCCTCAGAGCCTGGGCTGGTCCTGATGCAGGCCCAGCCCTGTCCACCTGCCCTCAGCCACGTCCCACCTGTGCTTGGCCGCATCCTGACCCCACTGCCTCCCATGTTTCCTCAGGAGTCTTCTGACAGTGCCAACACCACCATAGAGGATGAAGACGCTAAAGGTACCTGCACTTGCGTCCTTGTCCCGCAGCGGCCTTGGCACTGCTGGGCTGCTCTTTGAGGCGGGTGGGACTTGGGCAGGGTCAGCTCTCCTGCGATGCCTGGTGTGTGCATGTGTTGGGGGGTTCGGGGGCCCTGTAGCTGCAATCCCACCCCAAGCCTGGGTGTCAGGCCTGCCCAGAGAGTGGGAAGTGTGGCAGAGATGACTGGCAGCCGGGCAATCTCAGTCACCGCATCCAAGTGAGGAAGCCACGGCTTTGCGCAGAGGCAGGTTCTCCACACCAGGACCCTCACGGGGAAACAGGTTCATGGGTAGAACTTTTTCCAAGATGCTGTCCTTGTCTTAAAGCTCCTTAAGCTTGCATTTCTGTCCAGTGTGCACTTGCCGAGTGGCCGGGCAGCTGGGTGGGTGCTTCCGTGTTTGCCTTTGCTGAACCAGGAGTGGCCTCCTGCAGTGGGTTTCTGCACCACAGATTCCAGGGCCCCCTCCCTTGCTCACCCAGGCCAATGTCTTGTGTGTTCCTCAAGAGGGCCCCAGGGCACCCAGCACTGGGGCAAGTTCCATGGAGTCCGCTGCCTCCAGACCACCCACGTGGGGCCTCCTGACCCTCATCACTCACACGGTCACCTAATAAGCCCTATGCTGTTCTCAGGGCTGCCCCGGTGCCTGACAAGGGTCAGCCACTCTGCCAGTTTAGGGGAGAAAACTTCTCACCTGTCCAAAGCTTAGCCTTGCTCCTGCCCATGCTACCCAGCTATGACACTGTCCCTGAGCAGAGATGAGCACAGGACCTCGGGCCCTGGATGCCACAGAGTGGGTGTGCGATTCCCCTGCAGTCTGGAACAGGCCCCAAAGGCAACAGCATGGAGGCTGTCCAGAGGTTCTGCCATCACCCTCAGCCTGGTGGGGTGCTGAGCAATGAGGGAGGGGACCTGGGCGGGGGGCCAGCCTGGATCCTGCAGGGGAGAAGAGAAGACACCCCGAAGCAGCAGTTGTGGCTCAGATTTGAGCCCGAGCAGCCTCTTGAGGTGGAGGCAGACACCCCCCACCCCACCGGGGGCAGAAAGAAACCTTGCCAGGCTGCCCTGAGGCTGGTACAGAGTCCAGGCAGGCCCAGTGGCCATCATGCCCCTACGAGGACTGTCACTCCCCCTCCGTGGGCCTGGCCTCTGCTGGCTCTGACCAGGAGTGGTCACAGCACTAGGGTGGCAGGGTGGTCTCTGACTCCATGCCAGCCTGCACTGGCCTGTGCGGCCCTGGCCTCTGCTGGCTCTGGCACTGGCCCCGTGTTGGCTCCTTCAGCCTTCACATAACTGCTGCGGCCACCAAAGGCCCAGGACCCCCATAGGGTGGCCACCCCACCTGCACCCCAGGAGCCCCAGGTATCCAGCTGTCACCCCCTTCCTCCCTCCTGGCCTCCCCCTGTCCTTCTCCAGTTGCATTCTTTTCCTGTGGGCGCCCCACACACCTGCCTGCCTCACCTGTTCCGCCTCAGCCCCCAGGGTCCCTGACATCCTGAGCTCAGTGAGGAGGGGCTCGGGAGCCCCAGAAGCCGAGGGGCCCCTGCCCTGCCCATCTCCAGCTCCCTTTAGCCCCCTGCCAGCCCCATGTAAGTAGCCTGGGCCCTGCTGCTGTGGGGGTCATGTTGGAGGGCTGGTAACCCCTTAGAGGGGCCGCTCCAGAGCCAAGGGCAGGCTGAGCATGGACCCTGGCTCCAGCCTCATCACCCCACAACCCCTCACTGGGGCTTCCCAGGGCGGCCCTGGCCCATCGAGCCTCACCTCTTTGTGAGGTAGGCCCTGGACCACTTTCCTGCTCAAAGCCACTGGGCAGGATAGGAGGCCCTGGAGGCTCGGGCCTCAATTCCAGTCTTCAGGGTTGGCACAGGCCTCACTCCACCTCAGCTTGCGGGAGGGGAGAGCTCCTTGCTGCTGAGGCAGGCTCTGATTCGGGGCCTGACCCCAGGCCCCAAGGGGTCTGGAACACGGCACCCCTACCACTGACCTCCTCCGCCTTGCCGCCTCCTCGTATGTCTGTCTGCCTCATGTTCACGTCTCATCTGTTCCACCCCAGCCCCCAGGATCTCTGACATCCTGAACTCTGTGAGAAGGGGCTCAGGAACCCCAGAAGCCGAGGGCCCCCTCTCAGCGGGGCCCCTGCCCTGCCTGTCTCCGGCTCTCCTAGGCCCCCTACCCTCCCCGTGTAAGTAGTGGCCCCAGGCCTGCCGCCTCTGCTGCCGGACAGCTCCCTGCGAATGGCCGGCGCTTAGCAGCTTCCCACCTGCCTGCACGGCCCAGCTAACCTTCCCCCGGCGCCGCAGCCTGGCGTCCTGCCCTGGTGGGGCTTCCTGTGGGCTCTCACCCTAACCAGCAGAGCAGCTCCTGGCTTCTCCCTTAGGGGCCCAGCCCCTTACACGGTTCCTGCTCCCACTGCTACTCCCCGCTCGCTGTCCAGCCCCAGGCCCCTCCCAAAAGGGTCTGTCTGGCCCCCCTGAGGCCCCCCATGTCCCTAGACCCTCTCTGCTCATCACTGTCCCAGCCCCAGACTTCACACCCACCCAGGGGCCCTGCCCATGGTGCCCAGGAGCCTGCACTCAGGGCCACCCTGGTTCCTGATGTGACCCCAACCCCTGAGTGCCCTTCCTCAGTCTAGGGGGCTGAGGAAGGTGCCAGAACTGAAACCCCAGCCAGGGTCCCTGGGGCTCACGAACAAGGGGATAGTATGGACAATCATAAGCCTGGGCTCCGCTGACCTGGGCTGTCCTCATGGGGCCAGGCCAGGCCTCCTCTGTACCGCCCGTGACTCCCACCTCTCCCTGTAACCCTGTCCAGCGTTCCTCAAGGGCCACTTACCTGACAGCTTCTTGCTGGCCAGCAGCCTCTCCCTGGAGTGTGCCCTCTGCCCACAGCAGCTTCAGCCCATGCCACCCGACAGCCAGAGCGTCTACCCTTCACTCCTGCAGCCTCCTCTTCACGCACCACGCTGTCCCCAGCAGCACCCTCTGTCCTCCTGTCTCCCTCTGTCTCCCCATATCCCCCTTGGTCACCCTACAACCTCTCTACCCACTTCCGTCCCCCTAAGTTCACCCTCTATCCCTACATCCTCCTCTGTCCCCCAAATTCCCCTCTTTCCCTCATGTTTCTGTTTTCCTCCCCAAACTCCACTCTGTCCCTCACATTCTCCCTCTGTCCCCCACACCCCTTCTGTCCTCCACACCTTCCTCTGTCCCCCACATCCCCCTCTGTCCCCCACATCCCTCCCTCACATTCTCCCTCTGTCCCCCACACCCCTTCTGTCCTCCACACCTTCCTCTGTCCCCTCACATCCTCCTCTCTGTCCCCACATCCCTCTGTGTCCCCCATATCTCCCTCTGTCCCCCCACACTCTCCCTCTGTCCCCCACACCCCCTCTGCCCCCCACACTCTCCCTCTGTCCCCCACATCCCCCTCTCTGTCCCCACACTCTCCCTCTGTCCCCCCCACATCCCCCTCTGTCCCCACATCCCCTCTGTCCCCCCACACTCTCCCTCTGTCCCCCCACATCCCCCTCTGTCCCCCACACTCTCCCCTCTGTCCCCACACTCTCCCTCTGTCCCCCCACATCCCCTCTGTCCCCCACATCCCCCCTCTGTCCCCTCACATCCCCCTCTGCCCCCCAAGCACCTCTCCCTCTGTCCCCACACTCTCCCTCTGTCCCCCACATCCCCCTCTGTCCCCATCCCCCCTCTGTCCCCCACATCCCTAGCCCCCACACTCTCCTCTGTCCCCACACTCTCCCTCTCTCTGCCCCCACACTCTCCCCTCTGTCCCCCACACCTCCTCTGTCCCTCATATCCTGTGTCCCCCATATCTCCTCTGCCTCACACTCTCCCCTCTGCCCCCCACACTCTCCCTCTGTCCCCCACATCCCCTCTGTCCCCCACATCCCCCTCTGCCCCCCACACTCTCCCTCTGTCCCCTCTACATCCCCCTCTCTCTCTGTCCCCCACACTCTCCTCTGTCCCCCACATCCCCCTCTGTCCCCCACACTCTCCCTCTGTCCCCCACACCCTCCTCTGTCCCCTATATCCCCCCTGTGTCCCCTATATCTCCTCTCTGTCTCACACTCTCCTCTGTCCTCCACACCCCCTCTGTCCCCCTACACCTCCCCTCTGTCCCCACATCCCCCCTCTGTCCCCCACACTCTCCCTCTGTCCCCCACATCCCCCTCTGTCCCCCCACATCCCCCTCTGTCCCCCACACTCTCCCTCTGTCCCCACATCCCCCTCTGTCCCCCACACTCTCCCTCTGTCCCCCACACTCTCCCTCTGTCCCCCACATCCCCTGTCCCCCACACATCCCCCCTCTGCCCCCACATCCCCCTCTTCCCTGCCCCCTACACCTCCCTCTGTCCCCCACACTCTCTCTGTCCCCCCACATCCCCTCTGTCCCCCACATCCCCTCTGTCCCCACATCCCCCCTCTGCCCCCACACTCTCCCTCTGTCCCCCACACCTCTCCCTCTGCCCCCCACACTCTCCCCTCTGTCCCCCCACACCTCCTCTGTCCCCATATCCCCTGTGTCCCCCATATCTCCCTCTGTCCCCCCACACTCTCCCTCTGCCCCCCACACTCTCCCTCTGTCCCCCACATCCCCTCTGTCCCCCACATCCCCCTCTGCCCCCCACACTCTCCCTCTGTCCCCCCACATCCCCCTCTGTCCCCCCACACTCTCCCTCTGTCCCCCACATCCCCTCTGTCCTCCCACACTCTCCCTCTCTGTCCCCACACACCCTCCTCTGTCCCCTGCTATATCCCCCCTGTGTCCCCCCATCTCCCCTCTGTCCCCCACACTCTCCCTCTGCCCCCCAACACTCTCCTCTGTCCCCCACACTCTCCCTCTGCCCCCCACACTCTCCCTCTGTCCCCACATCCCCCTCTGTCCCCCACACTCTCCCTCTGTCCCCCCTACATCCCCCTCTGTCCCCCCACACCCTCCCTCTGTCCCCCACATCCCCCTCTGCCCCCCCACACTCTCCCTCTGTCCCCCACACTCTCCCCCTGTCCCCCACACTCTCCCTCTGTCCCCCACATCCCCCTCTGTCCCCCACACTCTCCTCTGTCCCCCACATCCCCCTCTGTCCCCCACACTCTCCCTCTGTCCCCCAGCCACACCTCCCTCTGTCCCCACATCCTCTCTGTCCCCCACATCCTCTGTCCCCCACACTTCCTCTGTCCCCCCCACACTCTCCCTCTGTCCCCTGGCCACATCCCCCTCTGTCCCCCACACACCTCCCTTCCTGTCCCCCCCACACTCTCCCTCTGCCCCCTCACATCCCCCTCTGTCCCCCACATCCCCCTCTGTCCCCCACAATCTCCCTCTGTCCCCACATCCCCTCTGTCCCTCTACACTCTCCCTCTGTCCCCCCACATCCCCTCTGTCCCCCACATCCCCTCTGCCCCCCACACTCTCCCTCTGTCCCCCACATCCCCCTCTGTCCCCCCACACTCTCCCTCTGTCCCCCACACCCTCCTCTGTCCCCCATATCCCCTGTGTCCCCCTATATCTCCCTCTTGTCCCCCACACTCTCCTCTGTCCCCCACACTCTCCCTCTGTCCCCCACATCCCCCTCTGCCCCCACACTCTCCCTCTGTCCCCCACATCCCCCTCTGTCCCCCACACTCTCCTCTGTCCTCTACATCTCTCTGTCCCCACATCCCCCCTGCCTCACACTCCTCTGCCCCCCACATCCCCCCTCTGTCCCCCACATCCCCCTCTGTCCCCCCACACTCCCCTCTGTCTCCCCACATCCCCTCTGTCCCCCACATCCCCTCTGTTCCCACACTCCCCTCTGTCCCCCACATCCCCCTCTTCTGTCCTCTACACTCTCCTCTGTCCCCCCACACTCCCCCGTCCCCCACATCCCCCCTCTCTGTCCCTTGCCACATCCCCCCTCTGTCCTCCACACTTCCCCCTCTGTCTCACACTCCCCTCTGTCTCCCACATCTCCTCTGTCCCCTCTACACTCTCCCCTCTGTCCCCCACATCCCCCTCTGTCCCCCACACTCCCTCTCTGTCCCCCCACATCCCCTTCTGTCCCCCACACATCCTCCTCTGTCCCCCACACCCTCTGTCCTCCTCCACATCCCCCTCTGTCCCCTACAACTTCCCTCTGTCCCCCACATCCCCCTCTGTCCTCCACACTCTCCCCTCCCACACCCTCCTCCTCTGTCCCCACACCTTCCTCTGTCCCCCACAATCTACCTTGGTCCCTTCATGCCCCTTGTCCCCAGCACCCCCTCTGATTCCCCAAGTCTCCTCCCATTTCCTCTCTGTCCCCCAAGCTCCCCTCTGTCCCCCACATCCCCCTCTGTCCCCTGTATCCGCTCTGTTGGCCCAGGTCCACCCTCTTCCCCCCACACCCCCCCATCCTCCCCTCCTCCCTCCTCTTTCCCCTCGTGCCCCACCCCACATCTCCTCTGTGCCCCCACCCTGGCTTGGCTGATTGCCCGTGGTTTCTCTCCCAAGTGCCCCCGTGCCTGTCTTGTGTTCACGTCTTGTCTGTTCCGCCCCAGCCCCGAGGATCTCTGACATCCTGAACTCTGTGAGGAGGGGCCTAGGACTCGGGCGTAGCCGAGGGCCCTCACCAGTGGGCTCCTGCCCTGCCCATCTCCGATCATCCCTGGCCCCCCTGCCCACCCCCCGTGGTAAGTAGCACCTTGAGTGGCCCTGGCAGCGGTCGGCCCGGGAGGGGCCTCGGGAGTGCGAGCCTGGCAGTGGTGCTTTCTGGGAAGGGCCAGCTTGGGTGGGGGTGAGGGCGGGGGCACAGGATCCCTTCTGCTGGGCCTGGGAGTTGCTTTGAAGCACATGCAGGTGCTGTTGGGTCTCACAAACTGAGGTTATGGTTATGAAGTGTAAGGACACAAAGTGTGTAGGAAGAGCGTCTGAAAGAGCAGGTTTGTCACTGACCCCAAAACTTGTGACCCTGAGGTCCACAGCCTTCTCCTGATGGGGAGGGGAATGGGCGGCAGAGGGTCTGGGCGCTGGGGTGGTGGTAAAGGGGCTGGGCCGCCAGGAGCTGCTGGCTTGGTCGAGGTGGACTCATGGGCAGGGACAGAAAAGTGTCACTGAGATGCTCTAGCATTAGAGCTGTCCAAGTCCAGACAGCAGGGAGCAGGTGGGGATCGAGGCGCGGATCTGGGGGCAGCTGGGGCCAGGCTGAAACAGAGCGGCGGGACGGGAAGCCCAGGCTGGAGCAGCCTCTCCAGCCAGGAGGAGCCAGGCTGGGCCACCTCCCGTCTGTCTGCCGACTGCCCACAGTATCGCCACAGGGATGGATGACATCCAGGAGCTGTGCTTCTTCACGCCACTCCCCACCTGTGGGAGACACCCAGGCTGGGGGTGGTGTGAGGATGCTCTTAGAGAAGAGGCTGCTGGGCCAAGGGCTCGGCATGGCAGGGCAGTGGCTAGGTAAGTACTTGAGGGACAGGTGGGGTTTCGAGTGCTCCCCATCCTCTGCAGGCTGGGCGTGGGGGCTGCTGCAGGTGGCCAGGGGAGAGGGGTGTGGGGAGAGTGAACCCACAAGAGCAGTGGCCCGAGGAGGGGATGCAGCCTGCAGGCCTAAAGGACACTGGATCCACTCCTGGGTGCCCGAGAGGGCAGGGGGCAGCTCCTGGAGGGGCACTCACCCCTGAGAGTGTTCTGTGGTCAGCTGAGGACTCCCAGTGGGGGTTGACTGAGGGGATCAGGGGCGAGCAGCTGAGGGGAAAGACCAGGTTCTTAATGGTGATAGGGTCGGGGTGCCTGGGCGACCGAACTCAAGGAGGGAGGCATGGGGAGGGGTCGCCATGCAGCTGGGGTGGGTGCACAGCAAAGCCTCTGGGGGTGGTCAGAACCCCCCACACCCACCACTTCTACAGCAGCTCATCTGATTTAAGGGGCTTGCTGCCCTTGCAGAAGTGGAGGGGTGCCTGTAAAGGAGACTGCCTGGAAGGTCACCCCATCAGGTTAGCATGACCAGCCCAGGGCTGCAGCCTGCCTCGCGTCCTGTGCAGTAGCCGGAGTGAGTCCTCTGAGGACAGGGCCCAGGTGGGTGGCGGCGGGCTAACTCGGGGCTCGTGCCCAGGCTCACCTTCAGAGGCCACAGCACAGGCCTGCCCGTCCAGAGTCTGCCCTGAGCTTGGCTGAGGAGGTGGGGGCTGCAGGAAGGAGTTGGGGAGCAGGGTA